ATGGGAGCACTAGACTATCTTTCTAACTTTTGCAGTGCCACAAGCACCAGAAGCACAAGCAGAAGCAGAAGAAAACCGATGCAGGCATGCACACTCATCCCTCTTCTTCTTCTTCTTCTTCTTCTTCTTCTTCTTCTTCTTCTTCTTCTCTCTCTCTAACAAGAATGGTTTGTGGTCTTGTTTAATTCCCAGACAGTTGAAATTAAAGTGAAAATGGATTGTGATGGATGCGAAAGAAGAGTCAAGAACTCTGTTAAATCAATGAAAGGTCTCTCCTCTCCCAGTGATCACTAGCTCTCTGATTACAATGCTTTAAATAAACTGTTAGAATATTGCTGTAAAACTTTGGTTGTTGTGACATTTCATCATCAGGCGTAAAGAGTGTGGAGATTAATAGAAAGCAAAGCAGAGTAACAGTTAATGGAAATGTGGATCCAAACAAGGTATTGAAGAATATCATGAGCACCGGAAAACGAGCAGAATTTTGGCCGTACATACCTTACAATTTGGTGAGTTATCCGTACGTGAGTCAAGCCTACGACAAAAGGGCTCCCGCCGGCAACGTTAAGAACGTCGTTCAAGCCTTCTCCGTCCCTAACACCACCGATGAACAGATGACTCATCTCTTTAGCGACGATAACCCTAATGCTTGTTCAATCATGTGATCAGTTTAATTCCTTTTTTTTTCTTTTTGTTATATATATGGTAATATTATATGAGATCTATATATGCTTAAAATAAAGTAAACAATTTATTAAATTAATGGATCTGTTTTTTATTTCAAACTGATCCAATAAACGTTAAAGATCATATATCCAAATAAAATACATCTACTTTTTATTGCTCTTGTTTTCTCTTTGATAAATTCTAGTGATAACATCTCATGTATGGATGTTGATGTAATTTTGTATATAACTTGCATGCATATTTAGGTTTCTACTTCATTAGCGACATGTCCAATAAAATGTAAAGATTTTACTATTGAAATCCGTAAAAAGGACAAACAGTGCTCGCACGATATTTTTGAATTAGCAATCCAAATTCACGTCTTGATATACAAAATGTAATTTAATTAATCTATTAAACAAATTAGATGTGAAAATCTAAACGGATAACCTTACGGTTATAATAATCTTTTTTAACTTGTTAATCAAGTGGTAAACAAAAAGATTAAAGTTGAAATCTAGAATTCATTTTTTGTTTTAATCTTTTATCCAGATTGATTAATAAATTAAGTTTTTCAATATCCAAGGTTCCTGATAGAAAACGATTTGTCTTATAAGTATTAATAAAGTTTTTTAACTGGCTGTTAATCAATTAGTTTAGCCGGTATATATTTGTTTTTTTCGTTTTGGGATATCCGAGTGTGTTTAAAACTAACTCCTAGTTTTTTTATACAGAAATGTTTGGCAAAAAAAATATAAAATTTTAAGTGTAAAATTACATATAGAAATCAAAAGAAAAAACTTTCAAAAACTATTTGAAGCAGCATTTTGATTAAAATATTTAGTTTAAAATAAAAACATAAAACTCATACCGAAGATTTTCTTTAGTTCGTTTTTTTTAAGTTATAAAACTAAAAGTTAATTAGAACTCTCAAAAAATTCATTATAGAACGTACCAATACCCTGAATGTCACACAAACCAAATGTTGTCCCCCAAGGTGAACATAAAGCGCCAACTCAAGAAGAAACAGTTATAATGGGTCAAAATTTTATGTATGTATGAGAATATTTTTTGCTCAAAGACCATTAGTCGTAAAAAAAAATCTTTAATAACCAATATGGTAAACATGAACTAGTTTGTAAACTAATTGATGTCCATGTATATTTACACGTACGAAATCTGATATGATACCATACAAGTGAGAATCCTAATAAAGCGAAGGACGCTTTAGTTAGGGGGGGACTTTTATTTGCAAAAGGTCTTTAAAGCATGAACACACCAAGATTCTCTTTCTTTTTTCAAAAGTTTCTAAAAAAATTTTGTTTCTTTATATTCGTGTCTCTAATGATCATGCTTTGTATCTAAAAAATAAAAATAAAGAATCAGAATCTACGCACGTTGAATGATGTTTTATTAGGTTTAATTTTACACAGCCGTCGCACAGAGCCGACATTTTATTTGATTATTAATCGTGTTAGATGACATATATATGTAGATCATAACGGATGAGTTGTTTAATCAGGATCTAGCTTTAATTTTACTACTTAAATTTTTTTAATCAATTGCCCAAAAGAAACATGATTTTCAACATGTTTAATTACTCTTTAGTCTTTGAGGAATGAATTATCAAACGTATACATATTATTTAAATTATAAAATAAACAAGTTAGAAATAAGAAAAATTAAGGATACCAGCATTAGTATTTGATGGAATTTAATGTAACTCAAACGTCAAAAACTGACCAAACAAATAACCAAATAAAATCAAGCATATGAAGAACATAAAAATTTAGTGACTTCCACCACTGATGTGATGTTTACGTCAGATTGATTGAGAAAATTTAGTTTTCTCTTTTATATAATTTTACCAAGAAACGTATAAAAGATAACAAAACTTACTGTATTAGGTGGATCATGACTGTCTTCTTGTATTTTTTAGAGATAATTTCTTATCATATGCGAAATTATAGTGTAACAAATATGAAAATAATTTTTTGTTTTTTACCTTAAGCTTAAAGAAGGGGACCACAACCAGGCTCATTTCTCAGCCCAACTTCGCAGCCCGTTTATGTGATACGACGTGGTTTACAGAAATCTGGTGACATGCCTTTTTTGTAGACGACATCCGTGAAAAATATGGCTATTTTAAAGATTTGTCTAATTGATGATTAGTTCTTAGAAAATGATAAATAAGATTAGTTTAATTTGTTAACCTCTCTAAACTATTATGTAATCCCCGAACTATTTGTAAACTCATGGGAACGTAGTCATAAACAAATACAAACTCTAAAACGGTTCATATATTTAATTTTTTTTCACAAATCTTCAATAACAAAAAGCACAATGAGCATTTACCAATATGTATTTGAACTTGATTTGATTATTCAAATAATACAATTACATTACATGATGTAATATTTTTATTAAATTTTAAATGGATATGTAAATCATATAAGAAAAAAACCAATGAAGATTATAGAATGCTTCCATAATTCCATATTTTCCCCGGCTTAATGGGCTTTTCGCCTTTGTTTTCTACTTTAAATCTCGGGCTTCAATACCCTTATACAATACAAATGCAAATTTAGATTGTTTGATACTATAATGAGAAGCATTTAATTCGTTTTATTGTCTTTTATATGTTTTTACTGCAGATCTGATAAAATGTTGTATCTGATTGTCTTGACTCAATAACAACTATCAAACAACTCTTAAACTAACACAAACATATATATACCTCTTCTCCATCATAACAATACTTGTACATCATGAATTAAGTTGGTTTTTACTTTTTACCCACTTAATGTCAATCTTTGGGTAAAAAGGTAATTTCATAGGGGAAAATTGATGAAATAATTAGAAGCAGAAGCCACATGGACGATCCATAACTATTGACATACCAAACGGAACAAAAAAGAAAAACCACACGAATTCTTCCAGTTCCAATGGAACAACTAAACGTAAAACCCACTAATATTTATAAATTTCCAAATCAAAATCAACTCAAATATATCAACATGTTAATTAATTCATATATCACAAATGAAACCAATAAACTCATAAAAGAGTTGTTTCCTACAACATAGACCAATAAATTCATGGTTGTGTCATACTCATATCAGCAACTTTATCACGACCAATAGCAACATGTTTATGAGGAGTTTCAGGGATAGAATTTCCGTTCTCATCGTACAAAATCTTTCCGGAAAACTCAAGAGGCCGACATCTTTCCCCCATAATAATTGTACGCTTCCATACAGCTTCTTCATCATCATCATCATCATGATCATTTCCTCCTAATTCTTCCACTTTCCTCCACGAAATCATCTTGGCCATCAATAACGCTTTACTACTCAAACCACCTCCTAATTTGGAAGTCGCCTGCTTTTTGACTCCTAGACGCACTGTGTTTTTCTCTCTTTTATACGTATCGGATCTTTTCAAACCACCATGTGAGCCACATAGAAAACCAACGATTGAGAAAATGGATATAACCCCAACTAGAAAAGCAAAAAACGCGATGCCCGGGAAGGGCAATATGGTCTTTTGTATAAAGATTAGTTGTCTTGCCATGGCTAGACTTTAGTCTTTATATATGAAGGGGAAATAGAGATAATTTATATGGTATAAGTGAGGGGTTGGTGACAATATATAATGGATCACCATGGCCATAGGTGGTTGGTTTAACTTTATATGGAGTGACTGTTAAGGTAATGGACTAAAGACCCCATGGTTGGTCAAGTGAAATTACTAAAAGACCCCATGTTTGGTATAGTTTATACATCTAACTTTATATAATAGAACTACGAGTAAATACTTGCAATTCGTGTGGTGTTTTTTTTGGTTGCTCAAAATGATCAATAGAACCTTGTAATTTGTATGAAGTTATTGGAATTTAATTATTCAGGATGCATGCTAGTAATTGTTAAAAGAATTGAGGGATAGAGTGGTAATTTGGACTTCTCCACTAACTTGGCGCGTTTTCCCGACCGAAAGTGACTCAACGTATCTCACGGGCCGAGTTGACTTGACGATTCCCATCACTGACTGACGGTTGACCCAAGCTTTTAACGACACAAAATTCACGTCTTCTTCTTTGTCCGTTAGCTGTTGTTTGGTTTCATGTCACTGTTGGCTTTTTAATTTCGCCATTTCTATTATTAAGTTTTTATCAAGTTTATTTACAAATCTAAAAAAAAAAAAAAAAAACTTTTATCATGTTTAGTATTTAATGGGATTTTGCTGATAAAAAATATATATTAAGTTTGTTTTTAAAAAATTAAGGTTTTCTACAAATTTCTTAGGTCACCTATGAAATTATCGTTCGACATACAGAATTCTAAAAACTATGTCGTTTCAAAATAATAATAATAATAATAATAATAATAATAATAATAATAATAACCTAGGAAATTAATATTCGGTATGAATTGATTCATATATTTACGAAAGTATTAAACTTTTGATAAAAACCTTTTTTTTATTTTCTTTATAGCAGAAATATTCAAAGACTATTACCATAACAAAAAAGATGCTCTATATTACTATGAAAGACCCATTATGCAAGAATAAAACCCATTTTTGCAGTGGGCACAGTAAAATTCAAGGTTATTGTAATTAACTTAATTTGCTTTTATTTATTTATTAAAAAAAAGCTCAACAAGTTTTAGCTAAATTTGTTATTTTCTTTTTTTTAATATATAGTAGTTTATAACCCGTGAGAACCACGGTTATAAAACTAATTAAAATTTTATATTAAAAAATCAAATTTACTAATCAATTATTTTAAATAAACTATTACTTAAGAAATATTTTTTCGTTATATAAAGAGAATTAAAATCAATGATTTAAATAAATATGTGAAATTATATCACCTTATAATCTATATTGATTTTATTTTATTTTTCCATCTAATGTTATTAATTTAATATAATTAAAGTGAGAAAATTAAAATTTTGAAATTTAAAATGAGGAATCAATTATTAATTTAATGTAATTA